AGGAATTCTCAACAAGAACCTGGAAAAAGGTCAAGAAAGTGTTAGAAACTGCATCAGAAGGGAAAGACACAGAGATAAATGCTTGTTGTATGGAGACTGGAGCAAGAGAATGAGAATGCCAAGGAAAATTAAGGGCTAGAACAGAGAGGGTTAAGAGAAGGACAGAAACAGTCCCCTAGGGATAAGCAAATGAAGGGCACAGGGTGGGATGAGAATCACATCCCCACTGACGGATCTTCATCACACACATCAGGGCAGGGACAGAACACTGAATACAAACAAGCAGGATAAAAAGGCAGAGCTGCTTTGGATAACCCTGACACTTCCAGTTCACCATCATCATCCCCAACATGAACAAAACCCCACCCCTGCCTGCCTGCAAAATTCGAGCTCTGCACAACTCCCTCCAGGAGGACAACAGCCTAAATTCTCCTTGGTCCAGCAGCACCATGCAGTGCAGAGGTATCACCCTACGCCTTGGTGGCACCACTTCTGAGGGCACTACGTGCAAGCAACTGCACAATCCAGAAGCCTCCAAGGCCACTGCACAGCTTTTTGGTTTGTAATCTTGGTCCCCCACTCGGTCTATAACATATAACAAGATCAAGTGTTTGAGACTGCAACAAAAACACCTCCCATGTCACAATCACCTTCCTGTACACGAGCCACGGGCTCGTTCCTTGGATAAATCCCCCAAATCAGCAGTTCTGGCCTGTCACAGACACAGTTGGCTCAAGAAACCTGAGTTTAAATGATAGAAAGTTAAAGACTGCCAGTTTATGAAAAGTCTATCACAAACCCTAAGCTTACACCACGGAGGAAAGCAGCTGCTGCTCCAACACAGGACTGCAGCAACTTCTTGAGCTGTGCTGTGACACCGAGCTCATTCTCTTGGTTAATCTCTGCACACAAGGCAGCGTGTCCGTGTGCTCGGGAGGCAAAACAGGCATCGGAACGCTCCCAAACACGTGAAAAAACAGGTACGGGTGCCCACTGGCAAAAGAAACTTTTCCTAATAACTGTTTATACCCAGGGAAGAATAATTAATGATCAAACGCCGCTTCTCAAACCTCCGACATTTCTATCCCTGGTGATGTTTGTACGCGACACCCCCGGCGCTCCCGGGGGACGGTGCCAGCCCAGCCCAAGCCCGCCCGGCCGGGAAGGGCCGCGGCTCAGGCGCGGGGACCCCGCACAGCGAACACAGCGCAGCCCGTACCGGCGGCAGCGTCTCGCACGGGGCCCGTGCGGGCAGCGGAGCCGGTGGCAGTCGCTCCGCGGGAGAGGTCCCGAGACCTGCGGCGCGGCTCCGGCTCCCGAGCACGAGCGGGCCCGCACGCCGGGGACACCGGGAGGGCTGTCAGGGCTCCCGGGCCCCCGGCCCGCCCGCCTGGGCCCGGCCCGGCCGGGACGCCGCTCCCGCCGCCGCAGCCCCGCGCCAAAGCGCTACCCGGGCCGGTGGGCGCGGAGGGGGGCGTGGGGCCGGCCCGGCCGCCCCTCCCGTCCGGTACCTGCGCTCCCGGCGCCCGCGGCCCCTCAGCGCGGCGCGCGCCGCCCCAGCGCCGGCTGCGGCGGCCGCCGGGCCCCGCCCCCCAGAGCCCGCCCGCCAATCCCCGCCCGTGTCGCGCTGACGCAGCTTCCGAGCGCCCAATGGACTGCGGGCAACCCGCTGGCGTCGCAACGCGACCCCGCTGGCAACAGCCAGCGGCCAATAGCGCCCCTGCAGACACGCCCCGCCCCCACCGCAACCCCGCCTCCGACACATCAGGCCCCGCCCTTCCCCTTTGGCTCCGCCCCCCACCCGCTTCCCGGACCCGCCCCCAGTCCCGGCCGGACCCGGCCCCGCGTCGGCTGCGCTCCGGGACACCGGGACTCCACCGGGACTCCACCGGGACACCGCCCAGCGCGGCACCCTGCGGCCGTGCAGAAGATCCAGGGGGAAGAGTGTGCTCCGTCCTGCCGCTTCCCGAGGGCGCTGGCAGGAACACGCAGCCCCGCCCCACCCCGCGCTCTGGCTCGGGAGCCCCCCCCTTTTATTCTACAGTTGAGTCTGGAACAGAACTTGACACAGACGGTATGATTTGGCAATCTTTATATCCACAATACATCATAACCATGCACAAAAATCGAGTGATGTGTTTATTTACAAAGTGAATTGCACTTAACACAGGAACCAGGAATAAAATTAAATGAAAGGAACCTCTCCTCTGGGTTGCATAAAGGCCCACTACTATTTATAGCCTACGAAGCCTGATAGTCAACACTACCATGCATTATCTGACCAGTGTAAATAGGAATTGCTGTTATTTATTGAAACAGTGCAGCCCTGGAGATACTCATTTCATGGAAACATTCCATAAATCACCAACTACATTTAAGAGTCTGCAAGTCAAGAGAATCTATCCTTCAGCCCTCACTCACTGTGCTTAACTTGAAGGACAGTTAGTCTTGACCTCCAATTCTGATTTTGTTTAGCTGAAATTCAGGCCCCTACCTTTAACACTGTTCTAGTTTTTTTATGGAGGAAAAATTTTCCCTAAGTGACTCAGCCACTTCATGGGGATCTTCTTTTCTTTTACAGAATCCAGAACCTCTAAACAAGTTCTTCCTTCTCCTTGGAAGAGAAATTACCACCAAACGTTGGTAACTCAGCCAGAAACAAATCCCACCCCCACCTTCTGGAGCAGTACAGCACACAAGGATCAAATCACCAGGAGCAAAATACGTCCTATACACTTTTCCAACAGCTTTGGTTAAATGATTCAAATAAAAGGCTCGGCCCAACCCTTACCTTGCCCAGCCAAGAGCTGTGTGTTCACACAAGAGGCCCTGGTCACCAGAGGGTCACAGAACAGCACCCAAATGGGGGCATCTCTGGGATCCATCACCTTTTTACTGCCTCTAAACCTGCCACAGGGGCAGGAAGGCACCAAACTGCCTTTCTTCTACCGAATCTTGATGGCCTCCACAGCACACACTGAAATCTTTTTAACAAAGTAGAAAGCAGTTACCCATCAACAGGATTTTTATATTTAGACAAGCATGGAGCTTTAAAACTTTCCTATGGGCCAAACTTCCTTGCTCTGTGCAGGCTCCAGTGAAGATCCCAGACTAACTCAGCTGTCTGGAGGCACTGACTCTGCAGGAAAAGAGGCTGGATTGATCTTACCTATTCAAGGAATTTATTTTACCAATTAGCTGTTTGTGTGCTCAGAACCAAGTCACTTTTATGCATTTTGGCCTTCACCTTCCCCATTAGTAAGAGGAGAGGCAGCACGACAGACTCTTGCCTAATTCTGCATTAAAGGACCTGTTCTAGACATCAGCAGGACCCTCTGATGGTTGCGTGACTGACACAGGTGGCAGCACTGAGGGCTTCGTAGTGTTTTCAGTAGTTAAAGGAAAGTCAGCCCCAACATCCAAATAAAGCAAGCAGAGCACACATTCCTTTTTTTTTTTTTTTTTTACAGGCATCTTTCCTGTTATCGGGAGTTTTACAAAAGCCAAATTTTACAGCTCTCAAATCCCTTGGTGCAGATGGAAGAGAGCTGTAACCTTTTCTTTTTTCCTGACAGTAATACTGAGAGAGACACAACCAGCAAAGCTGTGGGATGAAGCAGTCTAGTTGAGGTTACATGCAGTCTGTAATTTCCACATCAAGACAGCATACTTAAGGAGTCTGGGCTACTGGAGAGCTTCTCTGAATGTCAGACAGCTCTTCAGCATTTCCATCTTCCTCAAGATTCCTCCAAGTCCTCCCCTCAGCAATTCCAGCACAGCAGTGGGCTGGATTGTGGATGCAGTTTCTAAGGAGTGCACAGTGCTTCATCAGGACACCAAGAACCCCAGATCAGAAGCATTTTCCCGGTCTGTGCACAGGAAGATGGCCTAACCTGGCAGAACTGGTCCACTGTCCTTTTTCTATTGTCACAAACAGCCCTGTGCTTAGTCTGGGCAGGAGCACCTTAGACCCACAGAAGGGCTTGTGGCTCTGCCTGGAGAGCAGCACAGCAGCCTGGGGAAGAGCCTCATCTCATATTGAGGGACCAGAGCAGATTAAAACCCACCAGTACCGTTCCCAGTGCTCTCAGAGCTGTATGGGTGCACATGTGCACACACGCAACTCCCCCATCCTGGGGGCCACCAGCAAGGGGCAGGAGGCCTTTCCCTGTCACACCACGGATCTCAAACACAACAGAGTAGCCCAAGGTCCACTAGTGCTGAGGGGGCTTTGGACAATGGAGTTGTTCAGGAGCTCTTCAATACCTATAAATTTAATAGCCCTAGACACTGATCTTTCACTGGGACTGCAGCAAAGTTCAGAGCCTTCCACAAAGTCAAAGACTAAAGAAAATCTTTCAAGAGACAAGCAAGTGACTAAACTGTTTCTTAGTTTCCAGACTGACTTCAGGCCAGACTGATTTTAGAAATTTCACGTTAAGAACAGGACTTGCAGAGTAAGCATGTTAATACATCACCCTGAACTAATAAACTACTCTTAACAGAAGAATTCCTCCTCATGCTATCCAACTGATTTCTTTATATAAAGTTTGTTCAAAAATTAAGGAGCCCAGCTCCAGTAGTGTCCATGTGTTCTTGAATGAAATATTTTCAACATTTCAGAATTTTCAATTCTCTCATTGCTAGCTGTCTGAACACTGCATGTTATGTTATGGTCCTGGGCCAGCAAAAAGGACACATCCCAGTTCCCACCTTCTCTCAACAGAATGCTAGTGAAGTAAATACCAAGTGTTGAAAGTGCTTCCTGGACTGGAACACCCTTAGGACAGAGCCCTGTGATGCCTACAGGGGAATTCATACCCTCATTCAATGTGATCAGGCTGCAAGCATGTACCCTTTAACTTTGTAACCTCTAAACAAAGATGAAGAGTGGAAGTGCCAGGCACTAAGCGCATCCTGCGTTGTGGGCTGCAGCCTTCTCAGTGCATACAGTACAAAATTAAAGGCATTGGTCTGGAAATCTTATAAAAGAAAAGCCATCAGAATTAACTGCCCTTAATTTTATTACGTAACCAGACAGAACAGTTGAGACTGGAATGTCAGATTTCCTCTTCAAGCACAATTCACAGTTTCATATTTGCTTTGTATCAGTAAAGAAAAATCAACTCACTAATATGCAGCTGGGATTAATCCACTGAGGTACAGGCTCAGAATAGAGAGCAAAAACTCACTGCAAATGGCTCCATAAGCCTTCAGCGATCAGCAGATGGTCTCCAGCTCTTCCTTTAGATCATTTCACCCAGTATTTGCCATCAGAACATTCAGCGGATACCGGAGGGGATACAAGTGTGCAAGAGCTAGTGAGTGATGAAAAGCCATCAGAGATTTGCACAAGCAAGCAAGAGACTGACTACACAAAGTTGTGGTAACATTCTTCCCATTCAGCACAATGAAGAATTAGAGTAGTTAGCCTGCTGATGACAAATCTGTTACATCAGTGAAGTACAATCATTTAAGAATTACAGTCTGCAGTTCAGTAAAACGGTAAGAAGAAAACAACAGGTTAGTAGTTATTATGTGAAATCCTAATATTATGCATTTTAGTACAAGTCAATAGTGAAAGACCATGAAGAGAAAGTTCCAGATACTATGGATCTGCAGAAGTTTTACAAAATGTATAAAGTATTGTGTTTCTCTACAACAACCAAAACCCTTACAAGTGCAGGTATATATGTGACATGAAAATATTGCCTCACTCACTCAGACAGGGGCAGGAGAGATCTAGAGAAAAAGCAGCATGCAAAAAAAAACCAAAAAAACCAAACCTGGAACTAGAGCAGATCCTGCTTTCAGACACTGACCTACAGTACAAAAGAAGCCTACTTGTACAGGCTGCAAAAGGTTTCTGAAATCAATACGCTGGCACTTACTGTACAATAATGTTAACTGATTAACATAAGCCATGAATAAATATTATGCCACTTCGTAAAGCCTGCACAGGCATTCACGGTGGCAAAGAAAACGATGCAGACATATTTCATTGTTCCCAAATAAAATAAGAATAGAGAAAGATTTCCCAAGCAGGAAACAGTAAGCTACAAAGCCAGACTAACTGTATTAGGGGTAATTACAGAATAAGTAATGTTATTTTCAACAGTTATTTCCTTATGTGTGTGCAACCACTAAAATCCTCACTGTGAGATTTCATCAGGACAGAAAACAGAGTATTTGGCAGGATAGCTAGTTTAATTTCTCCCCCATGTTTACAGAAACACAAGAAAAAGAGATATCTGACTATGGGAGGAAAAAACCTTGTCACCTAAATGTAGTTATTTCTTCAACTGGTAGAGTCAAGTCCCACTGTTCCCCTCCCAGAAAACAACAACAACAACAACAAAACCAAACTAAAAAAACCCTAGCAAAACCAAAACAAGCCTATTTGATAAGAGTGTTTCATTGGATAATATCCAGCAGCAGATGTTCCAACACAAACATGTCTATCAGATCAGTGACTACATTTCAAGCCCAGAAGTCACCACATGGAAGGGGTTTCAAAGGCAGGGGGATGTTAGCCCTACAATTAAAGCTCTAATATGAGAGGGGAGATTTGGGAATGGAGTAAAGGAGGGAGGAGGGAGTCACTGAATCACAGGAGATAGGAAGTGCACACAAGTTTCTAAATGAAGCACAGACAAAGTGGAGGGCACAAGAGTCATCTAGAGACGGTCACAGGTTCTGACAGCACTGGAGTTTGTTGGATTTCTGTCCGTCGGTGGTTGGTGGGACGCTGATGTCAACGACGTTGTTGCCAGGAGACTCATCGTGTGCAGACCGGTCGGCGATTTGCTTCTGCGACACGATGCGGTAGATTTCTGCAAGGAGAGCACACGGGTCAGAGCCGCAGGGCACGGCCTCCGCTGAGCCAGATGAACAAGAACATGCCAGAACCCAAGGAGGAGGGCTCTGAAAGGGAATCCAGGCTAACCAGATGTTGCATGGAACATCTGGATGGCATTCCAGTTCCAGAATGAATATGCCAGCTCTGTCCGGAAAAGTTATTAAGAAAAGAGTCCCCACTGTCTTCCGCAACAGCACTTCCTATCTCATTCTTTCTCAATGACTCCATGAAAATGGAGATTAATAAAAGGGTTTTTAAATGGGAAAGGAGCAGGAATGCTCATTTCTAAAACAGGGAATCATAATCATTGTCTTTGTAATTAAAAAAACCTGGGCAGCATACTCTAGAAACACGAATTACCAGGATGCTGGGAAACCTTTGCAGCAGCAACAAGTTACCTGATGGCCACCTCCACTCCTGGCAACCTGCTACTGCCAAGTAACAGCAATGCTCCTCTCTGCAACACATCAGTTTTCCTACCTTTGACAGTAAAAAGCTGCATGGGTCCATAAAGCCCCATCCTTCTCTAAATTAATTTATTTGACTCAAACTAACTTATGCTTGAAAGTAAACAGATCCACAAAGCTGTAACCATTGAAGAGAGACTGCCAGCTTAAAAGCTTTCAGAAACAAACTGTTTCAACTGCATAATTAGCAGAAGTCTTTTAAATGGAAAGGTTTTTAAGTTACATATTTCACTGACTAAGCCCTTGATCCAACTTCCTTCCATTGTGAAACAGGAAAAGGGCAAATACCTCCCTGGAAGTCTGTGGTAAATATTATGGTCACATTTATACAGCCACAACCCCAAAACAGCAACACTTAAAGCCTTTAGTAAGGATTAAAAATCACGGAGGACTGTGCAGGGCTTGCTTCTGGGGCTTTTTTGTTAGGCTGTCTTTTTTTTTTTTTAAGAATCTGCATATATTAATGTTTAAAATGAAAACCTTTAAATCAAGGCCAATCTTGTTGCCACTGGCTATCTACAGGTCTTTGCTCAAAGGGAGGAGGAAGGTTGTTCAGAGGCTGTCACATCCTCTTTCTTTCCTTCTCAGTACTGTATTTGAATTTGAGCTGTTCAGAGTCATTGCCAAGCCTCTTTGCTTTGGGGTAGCATCTCTCTGGGGTTTTTTGTGGGGGCTCTTTCTTCCAGTCCTTAGTGACTACTCAAACAAGTGGCCAGTAAGGAAACTCCCGTCCTGCTGTTCCCACTCTTCCCTCCACCTCCTCCTGTGGTGGTTCCCAACTCACTATTCTACACAGTACAGGTTCCTTCTCCTCTCTTAGAAGAGAAGGTGTACTCACTTTAGGCATAGCCTTTTCGTGACTTCTCACTCTTATTATCCATGTTTCTGTACCACCCGAACTGGACAATCTCAACACTTTTGGGAGCCCAGGATGCTGTCAGAGAGAGGGGTTTGAGTGCAGTTTGCCCAGGCCTGAAGCTGACCTCAGATTGAGTTGTTACAGCACTGTGGCTCTCCTAGAGTAGCCTCAGGCCAGCATCTCTAACCAGGGTCAGTCTCAAGACAACACTGCAAGGGAAGACAGGATGGATGGTGACAGATGAACTACACTCAGAGCACTAAAATCAAAAATACGGTCTCAAAGTGTCAGGGAAGTTGCCTCAGATCCAGCCAAGCGTCCCAGATCAGCCACGACTCTGCTGCACGGTGCGAGCCTGGCCCAGCTCCAGCTCTGGGCCGTTGGCTCTGCCTCACACTCCAGTTGCTTCACTAGAGGCTCTAATAACACAGATCTGCTGGGCAGCAAATGCAACTCATTCCTCATCTGTCAGGATTTTTACCTATTGAGTCAGTTTGGCTACCCCTTCTTCCTGTCTGCCTCTTGTTGGGCACCTTGGAGTCAGAGTTGGGGTTGCTTGGTGTGGAGAAGAAAAGGCTCCAGAGAGACCTTAATACAGACCTCCAGTATCTATAGTCCCCCAAGAGAGAAGGAGAGGGACTTTGGATAAGGACCTGAAGTGCCACGACAAGGGGGAATGGCTTCCCACTGCCAGAGGGCAGTGTTAGATGGGATGGTGGGAAGAAATTCTTGGCTGTGAGGGTAGTGAGGCCCTGGCACAGGTTGTGCAGAGCAGTTGTGGCTGCCCTGTCCCTGGAAGTGTCCAAGGCTAGGCTGGACGGGGCTTGGAGCAATGTGGGATAGTGGAAGATATCCTTGCCCATGGCTCACTGTCAATTTGTCAATACCAGAATCCCCAGGTCCTTCTCTGCAGAAGATGCTGTTGGTGCAATCACCTATAATCCTTGCTATCAGCTTAGAACAAGAGCTCAGTAGTCTGAAAACGGTACCAGTTTGCTTTGGTGCAAGAGAAGATACTGGAACATTTAACTTTCAGCATGGCGGGAGCTTCATTGCTGAGATTTTGTGCAGGCATGGAAATACAATTACTAGGTTCCTTTACAACAGTGCTGTTGCAATAGCTTGAACTTACAGAACATCAGGAGATAGAAACCTCCAAGAGACAGAAACAGGTGTACATGGTGGGAGGCAGAATGCAAAGGTGAGATTAGAAAGCTTGCAAACTAACCACTGCTCCCAACACATTTCCAAAACATTCCAGAAAACCATAAAACGTGCCCATGAAGAACATCCATCACCTCATCAGCTCCTCTGAATCTGTAACAAACCATACCTGTAAGGATGTTCTTGAAGGCTTCTTCTACATTTGTTGAATCCAGAGCAGATGTTTCAATAAAAGATAAGTTATTTTTTTCTGTAATAAATAAAAAGTGGTTCAGTTAAAAACTTTAATAACACTTTACTTCCCATTTACTTTGAGGTTTTTATCTTTTATTTTAGGCCAAACCAACTAGGCCACATTATTTTTTTCTTTTCCCTGTTGCACAAGGAACACCTTGGTGCTGCAGTTCAGCAACATCTCCTTTGCCCAAAGTGCAAGAACATTTTCCCCACTACAGCCCTTGCTCAGTCAAACAACACTAAATATCATTCTATTCTGGCTACAGATCACACAGAAGTACCTTGAGCAAGAGCCCCAGCAGAAGCACATCAGCTGCTACAGAGACACAATTTCCCTCTGCAACCCCAAAAAGATCAACAGACCTATACTTTCCTAATGAGACCCCACTTCCAAATAATAATGACCTCCTGAAACACAGTCTATTTTCTTCTTTCCTCTTACAGTACAAAAGATTTTTTTTTAATTAAAAGGAGAGTGATTAACACTCAAATATCATACCTAGAATGGTTCTGTATCACCTGCCCAGGAATAGTCAAATTTCAGTCATGGAGCTTAAACAGCAACAATTAGACCATCACTAGCAATTTAAAACAGCCTTAGGAGGAAGTCAGGGACAAAAAGTAAGAAGCTGAACCAAGTGACCAAAGTAACAGACTATCTGAGGCACCCACCAACTTGTTTTGCTTCTCCTAGATAAATGTCACTTCTCCTCCATCTGAAAATTTAAAGCAGCTTTAGTACCCTCAGGGTACTTGCTTACCAGCAAACTTCAGAAAGTGTGTATAAGCAAGCCTTCATATTATTTCAAGAGGTATTTTAGAGGTTGCACATTTACATTCCACCTCCAAGCTTGACAGCCACACAAAAGCTGAATGTCCCCAGGCTTTTCAGGGCAAAAGAATATTTGAGTAGTGCTCTGCCAGGTAAGGAACACAGTGGCAACATCTTACAAAACCCACTTGACTTCTCCCAACAATTGATAATTTTCAAGTCTGATGATCACTGCATTTAAGAGACAATAGACGACACTAATATATGCATCAGCATATAGAGCAGCAACAACCCCATCTAAGAGAAGGTTCAGCATTCATTTGTAGCTGTTCACATTGACACCTACTCAGCAGAAGCAGGTCTCTAGGAAGGAAGGACAGACATTTTGTATTCTGATATTTTATATTTTTATTGTGATGTTGTCTATTCTAACTGTTGCTTACTGTTCCTAGCCTTGTTAGAGGAAGTATTTAATCTTCAGTTATCAGGCAGCTCAAGGACAGTGTTTCAAAAACATGTCCTACCACTAGACTTAAAAAGCAACAGAAAAACCGCAAACTAAAAATGACCAAAAAATTCTCCAAAAAAAACCCAAACCAACCACACATGCTAGTTAATAAGTTAGAATATTTTAATTAAATAAAAAAACAACCACCCAAACAAACAAAACACCTTAAATATCCTTTCTAGGGTTCAAACTAAAACTTGAGGTAAGAGTTCAGGCCTGGACAAAACAGTGATCACAGCAGCCTCATACAAACCTGCAGAGGCCCCGAGCAGTGATCACAGCAGCCCCAGGCCCTGCAGCCCCATACAAACCTGCGAAGGCCCTGGCCTCGTCGGTGGGCACAGCCCGGAGGTGGCGCAGGTCGCTCTTGTTGCCCACCAGCATGATGACGATGTTGTTGTCGGCGTGGTCTCGCAGCTCCTTCAGCCAGCGCTCCACGTTCTCATAGGTGAGGTGTTTGGCAATGTCATAGACGAGCAGAGCCCCAACAGCACCACGGTAATATCTGAAACCATGAGACACAGCCCTTCAGCCAGAGCTCTGTCCCAGCCACACCGACACACAGGCCATCTAGCTCTTCTATAATGTTCTCCACTTCCGAGAAAGTTGTACTGATGCAGATACTGCAGTTGGAGTGGTTTTGAAGCCTAAAACCAAGTTCTGAATGCAGGGTTTTCTTCTAAGGCATTTCTAAAAAAATACAGTGTGTGTACCAAAATGCTGGAGAGCCTGCAGAAACCAGGACTGAAAACGTCCTGTCTGCTCCAACCGTGTGCAGGGAAACTCACCATTGCAGAATTGGTACAGCTGGGAGGTTTTTGTGAAGTTACAACCTTACTTTCTGCTAGGAAAAATAGCCCTTAATAAAATGTCAGTATTTGTTCCTGATCCTTCAAGTATCTCCTGTGCCTCCTACAAACTAAAGAGGGGATCTGGGCTATATTGTCACTATATATATCCACAAACCTCTAATCCAGGAAGAGTTTGCCCCCTCAGCATAGCTTTGGGCCCATTTCAACACAAGCCAAGGGCTCAGCTTAGCACAAGCCCATCGGTACCAGCAATCCTGTAACATCCATATCTCTCTTCCACACAATCCTACCATTTCTCCTCAGTTCTGCCAGCACCTGTCTGACATGTTGTTGGACTGAGTCAGGGCACCAAGTCAGCAGAAAACATTCCCTTTTCCCTGATGTTTGGTGTTCTGCTGGCCAAGCAGGCTGAACTGGCTGAGTGATGTGTCGAGCAGCAGTTAGTGCCAGCACAAAGGAGAGGCAGGGTCACAGGACTGCAGCTGCACTAGCTCCCAGCTGTAAAACCTGTTGTTGTTGACCTAGACTAGACTAGCAGTTTTTACAGCAAGAGTAAGGGTCACAAAAAATTTCTGAAAGTCTCACTAACAGTTCCAGAAAAGACACAATTTGAAATTGTCATGTCTGCTTCTGCATCCCTTTCCCTATATATTGCTCCCTTTGGGCTCCAGGCTCTCCTGATTTTCTTCCATCTTGAAAAAATTCCCCTTACCTTGAGTTTAATGGCTCAATCTGTGCATGACTGAGAAACAAGTTTTTTACTTTTAAAAACTGATACATACACATCTGTAATGTAACAAAAAAAAAAAAAAAAAATCAACTCACTGATCAGAAAATGCTCTGGAGAACCAGGCCTGACCAAAGGGTTTGCTTTTTGTCCTCTGCCAGATACTTTTGCCACCACAGAAACAGGTAGACCTCAAGCCACTCTGTGGACTAACAAGGTCCCATAGGTGGAAAAGCTTCTCACCTCCAGGGACTGTGCCTAATGCTGCACAATCACCACTATTACAGTCGCTTTCTTACTTCCTGACTATTCAGTGTGTGCGCTCATGGACCTAATTTTCAGTGTTGTGACTAATTCAAAGTCATTGAGATTTCAAGGGACTTTGTGCTGCAGGTTTTCCTAAAAATACCCCAATCTCAAGACCAAGGGGGCAATGGAGACCAGATTTCATGGCTACCTAAAAATACCCTCAACCTCAAGACTGAGGGGGCAACTGAGACCAGAAGCCAAGGGTGTTACAGTAAGCCTAGACCAAAACTTGATACTAACAGTACCCAGCTTCCATCTGAAATGACACTCACTCCACATAATGAACATATCACATTCAGTGCAGACAAAAAACCAAATCCCAAAACTCAAACAGAATTCCCCACAGTTTTGATTTAAGCTGTCACTTGTTTCTATAATAGTAACATGAAAATCTAAAATTTACTTTCATTATATTAATCAAGGGAACACAAAAGTATTTCCTATCTTATGACTTGGATCCACACTGAAGTCCGTCACAATGACTTTGTCACGTGTTCCAAATATGTTTCATTCTCTACTCATACATTTACCTGCAGCATCTGTGCTAGAATTCTGTGGAGCAAAGACACAATACTCACGCTGAGGTAATGGCACGGTATCGCTCCTGGCCTGCAGTATCCCAGATCTGGGCTTTTATCGTCTTCCCATCCACCTGGATGCTCCTGGTGGCAAATTCCACCCCAATGGTGCTCTTACTTTCCAGATTGAACTCATTGCGTGTGAAACGTGACAGAAGATTACTTTTCCCAACTCCAGAGTCTCCAATCAACACAACTGAAAGGAGAGACATTATTTTCACAATTAATTTCTTCTACCAGCAATGCTGACCCCACGCTGCAGTGCAGCCTGGCAAGCAGCATCCACCAGGAATGCACAGATAATATAGGAGAGACAACATAGACAAAACCTATGCACAGCTTGCTTCTCCAACCCCAGAAGAGCCCAAGGCTGTTTTGTGGTGAGTAGCTGCCCGGCCCACAGAGGTGAAAATGAGAAATTGCTACACGGACTGTGAAAGCCAAACAGTGCTTTGGAGGCCCCAACCACTGCAGCAGGCAGAGGTAAGAGATGCCCCCCACACACTCGACCTTTGGCGCAGAAAGGCTGCAACCCACATTTTAAGAAACACTACAGGCAAGAACATGGCAACCTCTCTGCCCAACAAAAACCTTTGTGCAGTATAGGTATACTCTAGTTTTATTTAAAATACAAAAACATGGTAAGTAAACAATTATTTACAGTCCCTCTTGGAGTCATACAGGGCGTTTTATTTCAATAATTTAATTAATAAATATGTTCACCACAGAAAGGGGAAAATAGGAGATATTTGATACTACAAAAAAGATACAAAGCAAAGCAGAACTTCATCCAGCAAAACAAGTTTAGTAGACTGCATGATAAGTAAGAGATGAGCTAGAAACCTCTGCCTCCACATGTGGTGCTGCCATGATAACAGAAAAATGTAAGTGCATAGAGATCTTCAGCACACAAAGCCCAGCTTTCCTGAAAGGAATTGTGAAAACAAAGGTACATCTTGTGGCAGGAGGTTCCCTCTACCTTTTGGCTTATCGACGAGAGCAAGAAACAACTGAGAGAAACAAAGTTGAAACAGCCGAGCGGTGCTCCCTTCCTCTAGCAAACACTGTATCACATACCCTTTGGAATTCAAGTGTCCTGGCTCAAGCAAAAGGAAGAAAGGCAGCCAGCCTCTGTGAGCTTCTTTAACCTTGGGAATATTTCCTCTCCAGTCCTAAGTACAGATTTGCTGATCTTCCTCATTCATATGGTCTGTTTTTCCTACAGAAAAGCAGACGTGCAAAAAACATTCCCAATTTCCCCCCACCAACTACAGAAGAATCTTCCCATTGCACACCTCCAGAATGAGCTCACCAGTGTTCTCCCAGGGCCAAGGTTCACACTTGTCTTTTAGTGCTGCTACAGCTTTTCCCTGCTCAGGCTATTGTTTGAGGATGCAGCTCTGGCAGCGCCCTGCTCCAGCTCGCTGCCACCCCACCCCTGGAGCACGTTCCCAGGCTGCTGCTGGACCCTGGCAGCACCTCCCGAGCTGCACAGGGACATTGTTGAAACGCCCCGGAGAGCCCCGCCAGCATCTCATCTGCCTGACAGCACAGACAGACAATTGTGCTAGCACAGCTGAGCAGGCAAAACACAACAGAGGCAGGAACGGGCAGCCAGCACATCGTGGCAAGGCACCACAACCCCCCACCCGGGAGAACTTAAACCAGCTCCTCACAGTGCTCTGCCTTCCCTGGCAAACGGCCTAAACCATTTTTTAGGGTATGAGAACAGATAGATAAAAAAGATTTTATTACAAGTTCTAACTCCAGGATTTTGTTAGCTTTATTTTCCAGACAAACAGTTTTTCATCACTAATTCCATGGGACCTTCCAAGAACAGGCAGAGGTCACCCATCTTGCACAGAGATCTGCTGGCTGGAGTAGGGTCTGTCCTACAGCAAAACCCTGACCATAACCAAAAGTAAGAATATCCACCACACAAGCTAGACCAGATTGGAAGACCCCTGAGGCTTCCAAAGGTTACCAAAGGGAGTTATTTTCCCATGACTTTGCAGCCGGAGAAGGCACAGCCTTTCCATGTACTAGCCATTTCTCAGGCTCTGGCATTTTAAAAGCATCAATTTGAGGCACAAACCATGCAAATGGCTCTCAGGTCATTAACTCCATCTGTCACTGGAAGAAAATTCCAGTGGTCCTGTGCTCCTTTGGGTGGTTACTCACAGGCTCCCTTCACCATACTGCCCCACATTCCAGCAGAGCTTCTAGGAGAGCATTTTTCAGAAGTTAAAGGAAGGCAACGAAAACCCAATTCAATAAAGAGAATTCTTAAGAGTTCCTAAGTGCTTCTTATTAATACTCAATCTTGAGCACTAAAAGAGCATTTTCAGGAGAAAGATGCCAAGACTGAGGGCTCCCCACATGCAGAAAAGCCACAAACTTATTTTCTGTGGGAGTTGAGCAGGACGATACCTTCAACATTCTGGACTAAGTGAATAGATCTTGGGAAAGCTTCTAAATTTGGTAACAGGCCACCACACAGTATTGCCTGTTCAAATTCAGAAGTCATGACAGAGTCAGAAAAAAACTTCCAAATCGCAGCTTAAGAGTCTGAATACTCCCTAAACAAATCTCACCAGAACCAAAGAACTCACTCTCCAAATGCCTCTAAGGGCCACACTGATGATGAAAAGGTGCACTGGTTTCATCTTGGAAGGGACATGAACCAACAACCAGCACCAGCCACCTTCAGGCGGCTCTAAGCACACAGACAAGCCTCGCATAGTGCCCTGTTTATATCATGAACCTTACTCCTTCAGTATTTCCCGATTTTCTCTCTCCCCCAGCACCCCCTGCCACTGTGTGGGTTATCCACCACTACCACATTACCCATCCATCAACTCAGTCACCACCCTCCCTGCTTCCTGCGTCTCCAACATCCAGAACTACAGCACAATCCCACCCCAACACCTGCCCTGTATACTGAGATCCTTGTACAAAATAAGCCAAAGTCAGAATTAAAATTCCAGTGCCATTCATCATTGGTAAGAAAGGGAAATTAAATAGATCAAGTTTATGACAGAATTGTAAATACACTCATTTATTAATCTGGAAAAAAGAATATATACTTTTGAGCGATTAAAAAGATGAAGACTCCCTCTAGCAGAGACCATCTAATCAGAGTTTGTGATAAATCTGAAGTACATAAGGTTGCCAGATAGTGGTGACTAATAGGACACGCATTTGTTTTCAATAACCACAGCCTTTGCTAAGCAGAGACTAATCAGAACAGCCTAAATTCCCACAAAAGTAAAAGAAAGCTTTTTTCCCCTATGGCTGATTTTTTCCTGCCTTTTTCATGAGCCAGCACACATCTGCACAGCCTCAGATTTAATTTTTTAAATAAACATTGATAATAACTAATCTTCTCAAGAGCAAAATTAATGTGCAGATCACATTTAATAGGTACAAGGCTTCCAACATTTTTAACAACTCTTCAAAGGTCATGAATCCAATTCCAAATCAACGCATTCAAAACTCATCCTGAAAAGTCCCTGCTTTTTCACCATCTCCACTACAAAACTAACTGGGAATAGAGGCCAAAACTGCTGGCTTTACTTGGGTCACATCACTGAACACAGCCACAAGCTCTTCACAGCCTCACTGCCCCATGCAGCCCTGCACACACAGTTTGGTTCCTTCCCTCAAAGGCTGGCTCAGGCATTTTGGTAACAAGTAATATTTTGTTGTGATCAATAAAATAAGCAGTTTTCTTGGGATGCACACAAGAAAAAAGGGAAATTGGGAACAAAGAAGCACTAGCTCAGCAGAGCAGTTTTGACTATAATCACTCACATCCCCAGAGTGCTCCCAAATCTTAAGTTAGTCATTGCCTGCCACATACTCTCCTTTGGAAAAAGGTGGCAGGGGAAACAGCCAAGCCTTAAATTTAATAAAAATAATATTTCCCAGACTAAGATCCTCCTCCATCATCATATCTACCTCTGACTACTACACAGACTGACAGAACAGAGTTCAAAAGTTATCTGTGTAGCTAAGAAAGACCAAACCATAGACCAATCAAAGTCCTGGACATCATTACGGCAATTGTCATTGATGTTTAATTCCAATACTGGAGGAGACAGAACGACAAGAAAGGGGAGTTGGTCCCACAGCAGAGACCTCATCCCACTTGGTCCCATTTATATTATTTTTTGTCTAGTCCCAAAAAGCTTCAGAAGAAGGAAAAGAGAAATAATCAAACCCACAAAGAAACTCTTCTCTATATTTTTTATTTTTAAATTCACACAACAATACCTCCCAAAAGATGCACAGCAAAGGACAATTCTCTCACCTGCTTTTTATTAAGTGCTACAAAGTGTGGCAGCATCACCACAGCACAGATCCTGACCAAACGGCTTCAGGTTGAGTCTCATTCCAGATAAAATTAAAAACACATTTCAAAGCAAGTATTTTTAAAAGATGAATGCAGTTCTCCCTAGCTAATTGACTATTCAGAGAAAGAAAAAAATAAGTACAATTTTTAGGCTTTGAAGTTCCTGGCTATTAAACCACCTGGGAAACAGACTTCAGAAGGAAACTACTTTAGACTCAGACAGTTTAGTATATTTTTACAAGTCGGTCTTCTGCTTTATAGGCAGAGAAGAAATAAGGGCTTTTTCCCCCCATTGTCTTCAAGATTCAATCCACTGTGAAACAAATAAGGCCAATAGAAAAATGTATCTATAAAATATTTCCCTCAGATGAGTAACTGTTTTTTCTTTTGGTCCATAAATTTGGAATCACTGCTACCCTTCGGAGCGTCCAGGTACAAAGACATCAAATGCCTGGGAAATTGTCACAACACAAGTGACCCCCAGAGCCCTCAACGGCACCGTTAGCACTGCTCTTCCCAAGAGTGAGCTCATGGGACGAAAATCAGGTTTCAGCCACTCTACTAACAGTAGATCTGGTGTAAAACAGGCTGGGAAAACAAAGATGAAGGTGCTGCAGCCACCTGCACTGCTCCTCGGGCCTCACAGGCAGAACTGTGGGCTCCTCCGGGAAATTGGTCAGCTTGAGCCTCTGGACAGGCAGGAGCTCGGCCTGCGGAGACATCCCACGGGACAGAGCCCGAAGACATCCCACGGGATGACACCCACGGCGATGATGTCCCCGGAGCCAGCGCAAGAGAAGCAGCACTGAGCCCTCAGAGAGCCCTGGACAACCCGAGATGTCACAAGAAGAGGCAGGGGCAGGCGCGGCAAAACACCCATCAGCACAACCAAATTAACACTGTAACGTCCCGGTACCGGCTCGCCGGGGACCTGCGAAGGAGCTTCTATCGAAGCTTATGGTTTTGCAACTCCGGCTCGACACCGGGCGATCTCCGGACAACGACCGGCACCGCCGGGCACAGCCCAAGCCCGCGGCCGGCCCGCCCGCCGCGGCTCCGGTCGCCCCCGGGGATCGCAGCCACCCAGCTGCCGGCGCACGGCCCGCGCGTACTGGGGCGGGGAGGCCCTTGCGAATCTCCCGCGGCTCCCCCGGCACCAGACCAGGCCGGGGGCCCACAAGGCCGCCCCGCGCACCAAGGCCGCGGCGGACGGCCCGGGCCCGCGCGGGCCGCTGGTCCCGGCCGAGCCCGGCGAGGCGGCGTGTCCCTGCTGAGCACGTACCTTTGAACAGATAGTCGTACTCGTCGTCGCGGGTGCCCATGGCGATGGCGGCGCCGACCCTCTGCTTGCCCGGCACCGACCGCGGCCCAGCCGGGGAGGAGCGCTTCCTGACGGGCCAGTCAGCGCCCGCCAGAGCCCGCAGGAGGCGGGCGGTGCTCCACACCGTCAATAACAGCCAATAAGCGACGGGAACTCCGCTGACTGGCGGGGAGCGCTGCCCAATCGAAGGGAGGCAGCTGGAGAGGGGCGGTGCTTGGGTGCTCGGGCTGGGAACCGGAGAGACTGGGCGGGGCCGGAGGCGGGGCCGGAGGGAGGGGGCGGGGTTTGTGTGAGGGGCTGCGGGGGCTTTGGGGGCGCGGCCGGGGGCGCGGCCGGGAGCGCGGAGGAGGGGGAGTCTTCGGGGGAGGAGGTTACACCGAGTGTCCCTCAGGAGGATGGGGACCCCCCCCGGATTGAGCTGGATCGCTGGGAGAGAGGTTTCACCCCGTTTGAGAGTGACCTCCCGATCGCTGAGGGGTGGTGTCATCTCTGGGCGTGAGGGGAGAACTGGCCTGGCCCGGGGATCAGCGCAGCACCGGAGCCGGGGAACACGGACGGGGAGGCCCTCAGCAGCGCCCCAGGACGCGCGGCTGCCGCCCAGAGCCCCAGCCCCGGCCCCCTTGCTTCCCCCTCGGGCTGATCCCTGCCCCACTCGGCGCTCCTGGCCCCACCTTCCTGCTAAACACCAGCTGAGAAGGCTGTTCCGGCAAAAACATGCCCTCACGGTGACACAATTGTTCAAGGAAAAAATTTCCCTTTTTTTTCCTGGCACGGCTCTAGGCAGTTTCCTGAGGGGACTAGTGACAGAGGCCGCGTGGCCACTCGAGCAGTGACGGAGAGCCACCCTTCGCCTCGGCTTTGTGGGCTCCAAGTGGGACATCCTTCACCTTCCCGACAGCAGAGTTGCAGCAACTCATCCTGGGAACGCTGTCCAGGCTTCAGGACCAGCCTCACGGAGCCACTTGGGAGCCCAAGGGTGTCTCTGCTGCCCTGGTAGCCCCCTGCTCCTGACCCCATACAACCTACACACACTTGTGTCCCATCAGTGGCCTGACACCTTTGGTTGTGTTTGGACGAACCCTGGCAGGGAAACTGCCAACTCCGTCCCTCCCTCCATGATGTGCAGGGAAGTGGCTCTGCTCATCACCCGTTTCTCTTTCTGAGCTGTACTCATCGCAACAGATCTGCCCTACTTCTTCCCTGGAGGAGTGTTTATCCCACTAAAGGATTAGTGCATCTGCAGTATCACAGAGGGAGCAGCAGCAATACTGACACAATGGTGAGAAAAAAGTTGGCTTTGAACTTATTTTTGCTGGCCCTGGGAGATGGCTCGGAGTGGGAGTGATGTCGAGGTGGGGACAGATTCCGACCCTCCAGGTTCTGTGGCACTGAGCTGCTCTCAGCTTCCCTCAGACACGTGAACACTTTGGACAGGCAGGACCATGGTATCCAAGGGATCCCATTTCCAAAAATAAGTGCTAATAAAATCAGTGGAGGCAGACAAAGATGCAGCTAACAGTCTGACAGCTTGGTGGGATGACACCCAGGCTGCCAATGACCCAGGATCTGAGAATGGGTGAGAACCAACATTCTGCAAGCACACTGCAATCCCACTGCCAAGGTATCTAGGTATCCCTGTTATAGATCAGGCAATTGAAGCAGCAGGGAAGAAAAGCTAAAACTTCATGGAACCTGCAGTCTAGGAAAGATGCAGCCCCAGCCTAGCAATGGGTTGGGCCATTTTTTTTTCAGTGACAGGCAGTGATTGCTGAAAGAGTGGGAAGGGAATCTTTTCTTAGGGGTTTTGGTGCTCACATGCATCATGGAGCATCAGACTTTTAATCCTTCCCATGCCAAAGGGAGTTTTAACACCAGGATCTACAGGAAGGTGTTAGCACTTTCTCCTGCTGATGCTCTTCCTGTTCCTGCAGGACCCCAGTGAAATGCCTTGGTGGGTGATGACTAGAGCACCCAGGGCTGTTAACATCAGAAGGAACAAAGCTGGAACATGTTGGATGCAGGATCTCCGAGGAAGAGCTATTATCCCGTGCTGAGTTTCCCATAGCTGATAATACTGCAGCCAGTGAGTGACTATGTGACAGGAGGGAGAGGAAGGTGGCTCCTTGCTGGTCTGCAAAGGAGACCTTTGCTTCCCTTGATTTTCTCTGCACAATAGAACATCTTATTTTCATTATTACAAGTAACTTTATTAGTTCTGAACTGAACACTAATGGAGGAAGGCCTAAAATACACCAAAGCTATTTTTTATCAGTTTGAATGGAAATAACTTTCTTCTTTTCTTTTTCCAATGCCTGGGAATTCTTGCTGTAAGTTCTAAAGAGCAATACATGATGCTAGTACCACTGTGAGTGCCATCCAACTCCAAAATCCCCTGGGACAGGGTTTTAACATGGACTACAGGGAGTGGAGATGATGACTTGGTGTTAGAAGAGGAATGCTGTCCTGGGGCAATGTGGGGTGAAGCATGAGCCCGGAGCCCCCACGTTCTTCACATCCAGGAGTCCCCCCAGCTTGTGGTATGTTTTGCATTGAAGGATCAGTGTCATGTCACCAAAACCAGTGTGTCACTGATGGGGGAATGCATTTGCAGAACCTTTCTGTAAATTCCACATGTCCTCAAATTGGCCGCAGGCCGTCAAGCTTCCAGGGCATTGGCCTGAGGTCCCACCTGGGTCAGCAAACTGGTAGGGAAACTCCCCTGTCAGGCCATTCACATCCTGCTCTGGGGGTCCCACTGGCACGACCCCAGCTCACTGCTGGGATCAGGGCCCCTTTGCAGAGGTGGCTCCAGTGACCCCACAAGCCCTGTGTGACTCCCTGCACACCCCACATTTCCCAGTCAGACCAGCTCCTCCCACTGACTCGGCCCCAGGTTTCCCACAGCACAGTCCCAGACTGCTGTTCCTTTGTGGTGCAGAGACACAGAACAGCTCGAGCTGGTGTCCCTGGGGAGGGACCCCGGACAAAGCCCCCCTGGGCTGTGCCCCCTCCCAGCCTGTGCCCATCCTGATGCTGATGTTTAGCCTGGCTCCTGTTCCTGGCTCCTGCAGAGTCCCAGGATGACTGGCCACCCCTCATCTGGCTCCCTAGGGCCCCAAGTCCTTGGTCAGGCAAAGGGTCAGTGCCAGGTCGCAGCCCCTTTCTGGGGACTTTCGCCATTCCCCCCACTCTGAGCACAACCTGCAGCTTGTGCTGCAGCTCCCTGAGCTGGGCACTGGAGCATTCCACAACAGCCTTCCCTTTGTTTTAGTGGAGCACACCTGCTAATGTATGGACAAGAAAAAGAAAAAACTTGCAAGACGTTTGGGTACTGCCTTTATATATAACATTATCACAAGTAAAAAACATAATAGAATTAAAGCCAATAGGGTGAAGTACAGCATAGACTCCTGTGCACAAATGCTTATAAGATTACCAACACAAAATCACAAAGGATTCTCAGAAGTCAGTTATTTATCAACTGGTTTATCACAGAATCACAGAATCATTAAGGTTGAAAAATACCTCTGAGACCACCAAGTCCAACCTATGATCAAGCACCACTTCTTTGTCCAGTAGACCAGAACACTGAGCGCCACATCCAGTATTTTCTCAAATACCTACAGGAACAATGACTCCAACACCTCCCTGGACAACCCATTCCAGTGTCTAATCACCTTTTCTGTGAAGAAATTCTTCCTAATGTTCAACGTAAACCTTCCCTAGTGCAGCTTGAGACTATGTCCTCATGTCCTGTCTCTGGCTGCCAGGAAGAAAAGCCCAACTCCCACCTTGTTCCACCCTCTTGTCAGGAAGTCGTGGAGAGTGAGAAGGTCCCCTCTGAGCCTTCTTTTCTCCAGGCTGAGGCCCCCATCTCCCTCATCTGCTCCTCATCAGACACCTGCTCCAGATCCTTCACCAGCTTTGTTGCTCTTCTCTGGACTCACTCAGCACCAAAATGTCCTCAGCACCAAAGTGACCCAGAACTGCACACAGGACTCATAGTGTTGCCTCACCAGTGCTAAGTTCAGGAGAAGAATCACCTCCCTGGTCCTGCTGGCCACACTATGGCTGGTACAGGCCAGGTGCCATTGGCCTTCTTGGCCTAAACACTCTTGGGCTCATACTGAGCTGCTGTTGACTAGCACTCCTGGGCCCTTCTGCTAGGAGCTTTCCAGCCACTCTCCCCAAATCTGCATCACTGCAGGGGATTATTGTGGCCAAAGTGCAGGACCTGGGAATTGGTTTTTTGAGCCTCATGCTGTTGGTCTTGGCCCATCGATTCAGCCTATGAAGATCCCTCTGCAAGGTCTTCCTACCCTCCAACAGATCAACACTCCCACCTATCTTGGTGTCATCTCTGAATTTACTCAGGGTGGTCTCAGCCCCATTAGCCAGATAACCAGTAAAGATACTGAATAGGACTGGGCCCAACCCTGATCACTGGTCATCACTAATGAAAATAATTGAACACATCATCTACGGGTTGTTTAATGTGAGAACAGTGTATCCAATTTTTCTTACCTAAAACTTTAACAGCAATATAGGAGCACATTAGAATAGCACATGACCCTTCCTGTCTAGGTCCTAATTTGGATTTTCTACAGAATACCTTATTTAAAATTCCATCTCCAGGCTGTATATAATGTACCTGTATTTCAGGGGGTTGAGTTGATAACACTGAGCATACTTTGTTCTTTAAACCCTTTTTGCATATGCATGACACACTGGGTCAGTCTCCATCCAATAAGCTGGCCATAGCTGGGATATAAGATCCTGGCATAGCTAAGTGCCTTCCAAAGAGAATTTCTGCTCATGTCAGCCCTATAGCTTATCAGAGAGTATTCTGGACATCCTACAGAGCCAAATGTAAGGCTTCTGGCCATTTCAGATTAGTGTACATGTATATTTTCATTATCTTTCACTTCTCCCAAAGACTATGAGTAATGTGGTATATGTAATTTCCTCTCTCTCCCTAAAAACTTGTGCAACTGATGTATTTGCTGTAAAATGATAACCTCTGTCTGTTTCAATAAGCTCTGGAACCCTGAGTAACAGGTATAACTTCCTTTAGCCAGG